TGTACGTATTATGGAACCATTGGCCGCAGTGAAGTTGAGTGCTTGAGCTGGAAGCCTGGCTTTAGTGGAGGAAGGAGGAATGACGCTCACTTCCGCACTGATGTCTACTACGAAATACACACCGCTAATGGAGTCCCTAACGTAAAAACGGCGGCTCCTAGTTCGCGTGCCAACGGTTGACGCCGTAATCAGTCGTCGGCCTAGTCTCTTACCGAAGGAGGTTGACCTTTCCACGAGCATGGGTGGATGCATTTTGCAGCATCCTTACCGTAGCCTGCGTGGTATCAACATAACTTTGGACTATTGTTCGGCAACTTGGACCGACGGCGAGCACTGGATTGAGGTTTTCCACTAAATGGGGCGCCTCTAGACTTTCTATCCGTTTTGAAACCGTTAAGTTTCTCGNATAGCCTGAAAGAGGGCCTCGGTGAATGCGACCTGAGAAACGGCGGTGGCAACTGCGGCGACTGAGGGTTGACGGTACTGCATGGCGTGATCTGCCATAACCGTCAAACGTTCTATGGGCATGTCTGGCGCTGGCGCAAGAAGAAATTGAACGTCCTGTGGTAACTTTTGTAACCACAGTTCCCTAATGAACGCGTCGTCGTGTGGGATATTGCCCATTTCGTTACACATTAGCCTATAGAGCTGCGAAGGCTTGCGGTCGCCTAGAGGCATATCCTGTAGAATGCGTCGGATTCGCTCTTTTTTAGAACTCCCCGTGCGTTGTAATATGGCGTCCCGTAGGGCTTCGAATGGTCCATCTTCAGGCAGCACTAAAATCGCGCCCAAGACCTCGGCTACCAGGTGTTCAGGCAGCGAGGAAGCGACGTACTGGAACTTAGTCTTCGAAGACAATGTTGCTAGCCGCGCACTGCGATTCCAGATTCACTCGTAAGGGGTCTGCTAAGATTTGAGCAAGTGGTGTCACACTGGCAGGGTATATGCCATCGGGAATCGGGGTCTTATTGATGTCCAACCCCCCTAGCACCTTTTGCAACTCCAATGCAGATATCTGCATTTCCCTTATGCTCGATGGAAGAGAGTTTGGGGATCTAGTTTCTAGTATCCTTTTATCTAACCTATGAACAATAGCGAAATAGTTGCCCAGTGCTACTGCCTTGCTGTGCTCGTCTGCCGCAATCGTGTTGTTTTCCAGAACCAAGGCACCTGTGGCATCCCTCAACTTGCGTTTCGATTGGACGTACCTGAAAAACCTTTTTGGTTTCTACTTGACGTTTTCAGCTAACTTTAGTTCATATTTTCTCTCTTCTACTCTTATAAGACTGACTGCCTTATTCCACCGGACCGTGTAGTTTGTCCATGCCAACTGGGTGCTGCCCTCCCTGTAGTGTCTTCAGCTTCTGTTTCTTTTCCTTAGTGCTCTCCTTTTTGCTGGATACCGCCATGGGGGCTTATTACAGCCTTTCCAAATTTTAAGGGGTGCAAGCTCGTCTTGAAGTTCTTGTAGGTTACTTTTGATTCTATGCCAGAGAGCCCCCACTGTGGTCTGGCCATTTTCTGCTCCCCATTCTAGAGTTAAGGCTCGTGCATGCAAGCTGCTTATGTCCATGTTGCTGAAATTCATAACTTTCCGGCTAGGCGTTTTGGATTCCTTTGAATCGAGGGTCACTTTTATCACCGGACGATCACTCTTCCCTATAGGTGGGCGAAACGAGGGGTCTACGTCCCTGTGGTATTTAGTAAACACCAATTTCAGGTGCGATGGATTTTGATCAGTCCTGAATCTGGTGTTTTCCTTCACGTGTTGCAAAAGGGCTTTGGAGTGTATCCATCCCAGAAACCTTTTCTCTGATGTACTCTCCGAGCAGGTCTCTGTGGTCCACTAGATGCCAGGAAGGCAATCCGTAGTTTATGTCGGACTGTGCTAGTGCATCTAGCGCCCAGATCAGTTACTCATCTTCATCTACGGTGGCTCCCGGACTCCTGTACGCACTTGCTACGGTGGCTTTGTTTGTCCTAGAAATGAGCGGGATAGCACACATTTGTATATTAGGAGTGCAGACTTCCGTGTACAATCACCTGTGAGGAGTTTCTTTGCGAAGGAGGGGGGCTACTCCTCCACCTTGTCCCCCTCGATCCTATCTGTGGATCTCAAAGCTGGTTGCGATGGTATGTGATTTGTGGTTGCTTTCACGTAACCATGTTTCATAGACAACAATCACTGCAGCTTTGAGTTCCTCAGGTGTAACCCCAAGCTCTGCCCACTTATTCCGGATGCTGCACGCCCGAGCTGTGAATCCGTTTTTTGATGGGTCATTTTAAGTAATTGTCCTGCGCCTTCTAAGTTCGGAGTCCGTGGGTTCTACCATGGACGTCCTCCGCCATGGTGTGGACGTTTGAACAGTTTTCTGTTCATCTTCACTTACCGACCTGGTCGGCAAGCAGGTCTTCCATTCCTCTTCTTCCATTATATCTTCTATAATGACCACCCCGTTTCTGTAGGCGGTGTTTGCCGTGAGATGCTTACCCTGATTTCTGACCCTTCCCTTGGAACCCTTATGCTCCACTTCCCATGCGGCTTTGGGTTGTCCTAGGCTATGCTGTATCGTCCGTTTGTACGCTGACTCACAAGGGATGCTTTTGCCAAGAGCATGTCTCTTGGTCCCACCTCTCCGAACTTCACTAATATCGATCGGGCCGCAGTCACCCCGTTCTGGTTTGGCTGCTGCCAAACAATAATAATAATAACGGTATATTTCGCGAAGCCCGCAAAGCATGCTAGTGCGCGTGATCAAAATGTACAACAATGTGAAACGTAATTAGTGGACACCAAAAAGTAATAGTACAAAGAGTGTAGGAACGTAGTTTTGAAACAGGTCCGTAGAATATCGTAAATGTGCCTTGCTTTTAAAACGAAACACGAAACGGACAAGGTCATACAATGGAGTA